AAAAAAAAAAAAGTTTTTTTTTTTCTTTTCTTCTTCCAGAAACTGTTAAATAAAATTTACTGAAACAGATGAAACAGTGAATTTTCTGAATGAATTCGTCAAATTATATATTTCTTAATGGATTGTGTTCAATTTACTCTATTCATTTTATTTCTTTTCTTCTCAAGATTTTTCAAGACTTTTCCGCTATTCCAAGTCAGTTTTATCACGTAACTTTTTCACATTGTTTTCAACTAAATATTTTATGTGTTTTTGACAATATATTGACTACTTTAAATTTGTTTGTTCAAATACAGTTGGTACTATTTGTAAACTGAATTTTTGATCTTTAACAGTTTTTTATCATTATTTGGTTGCCCAATAAATCTTGAAAATCTTAGAGCCCTTTTGTTGTTTATTGTAATTGACCTGCAAAACAATTTCCATGTAATTAGATATTTGCATCACAGTACAACGTTATTGAAGAACAAAAGTAAGCTGTAGCCATAATTGTTCGGTTAATATAATATTGCAAATAAATTAGGTAAAATTTTGAAAAACTTAAATTCTTTATTGACTGCTCATCAATTAGCCACTGATGAATTAAGCGTATTCTTTGCTGATTCCTTATCCAAGTTTGAACAGGTTTTAGTTTCTTTTTTTTTACGAAGAAAAATCTCATCTTTTTATGTGACGATGATTATAGGGTTGTAAAAAATAGTATCTCAACATCGTTAACTGCTGTCTGTTTTGTACGATTTCAAATTTTCAAACAACCACATTTATTTCCTAACAATATTCTTTTAAGCCTTGTCAGGTCTTACAACTTCATTATTCATGTGATGTGATGCCTACTGGAAGGCGTTCTGGTATCGCTGAGTTTGGGAACATCGTAACTGGAATCAGTGTAGGAGTGGCACGCAAATACTTGTTTTTTAGCACGGCAAAAAAGGCTGTTGTATATCTGATTGTTGTCATAATGCTCTCTCTTTATGGAGCAAGTTTTAAACTTCCAGAAGACTTTTATTTTGCAAAGGTTGTTATTTTGAAGTTTTGAAGTTTTTTTTTTAAAACCTCTTCTGCATGCTTATGGATGAAGTGATGGGGTATAGCTTTTTTGCATCCTTTCAAACATTTGTTACTCAGGTAGCTTTGAACGATATCTGAACGCACCTGTTCATTTGTACCCACTGATCATTCTTCAAGTTATACGTTGTCCGCAGAAAGATGATTTATTTCTATGGGACTTATTCATTTTTAGCGAAGAAACCTCCTGAATGAATACGGCGTCAAACTTGGTTGGTTTTGGACGTTGTTTGTCCTTGTTCCTTTTGTCCATCTGACTACAAAAGCTCACCGAAAAGAAATGAATGGTTTGTTCTTCCCACTGCGTTTCGCATAAATTATTAAAGGATTGAATTTTAATTGAGTTCAGGAGATCAAAAAAGTTCTTATTTCTAGAATGAATTTCCTCAGCGTTCTTTTATAATTACTAGATTAAATTTTCATGTTTTAAAAGAAGTTTTTGTGTAGTTACAGGACGTTTTTACTCAGAATTTGGATTTTTTCGGGAAGTAACCGCTACTGTTGTTAAAAAGAAAGTTTAGTGCTTAATAACAAGCTTTTTTTTTTTCAGTTCTATTCGGGAACTTAATGAGAGTTTTGGTTGCAACTGGCCTCTGGTATTTCTGTACAACTTGGTGAGTATTCTTCTTTTACTTGTATAGTTCTTTTCACTTTAGATAAAATAACAGTTTGATGTTATTTGGCGATACATGGAACAACTTTTTTATAAAAGGTTTGTGAATTTTGAACGGATGACGGGACACTGTCATGGTTCAGAAATAAGCTCACGCTCATCTTGCCGTGAAGATGGAGGTAAATGGGTACCAGGATTTGATATTAGCGGGCACTGCTTTATCCTGATATATAGCTCGTTAATGATATGTGAAGAGGTAAGTTTAAACTGATTTTTTGGAACTTCGCCCTCAAATAAAATTTTTTCGATGAGTGAAGGCAGGTAATTAAAAGTTTCAAAGTTTTTTTTGATTTACCGTTGCTGACTTGGCTTTTAGTCAACTGCTTTTCGCAACATCCCTTACATATACGGAAGGGGATCGAATAGTAGAACAAAGGAATCCTTGAACGAGGCTTTTGCGATCAAGATCTACTTTTTACTCATGTTCGCCCTTCATCTTCTATGGGTATTCCCTTCGTTTCATTCACCGTTTTACATCTTAGCTATTTTTTCGTTTCCATCCTGTTAATAAATGCTTTCCACTCGTGTGGGGAACGGAAGAAGAAGCAGTAACTTGTTTATTTTATGTGTACCTTCCACTTCAGGACTTTGAACTTGTGATATCAGTTTTGTACTACCATCACATACATCACAAAATTGTTGGAACTTTCATTGCACTGGGATGTTGGTTCTTTACCTACCATCTTTGGTACCCTATCTTAGGGATGCCACCGCCGCCCATTGACGAGAAGATACGCCAAAAGGTCCATCAGACGTGATATTATAACTTGTGTTAAGTTTTTGAAATAACTAACTGCCTTACCTAATGGAAACTGTAATATGTCATGTTTGTGACTTATTCACTAAGGTTTAATTGTAAAGTTTTTGAACGTGCACATAGAATGATGAAATTCCGAAAGATAATATTTTGATTATTGAAGCTACACGGTCACCACAAAAACTAAATCAGGTTTCTTTTGGGCGGGTGGCGAACAAAAAATTTTTGTTTATTTAATATCACAGCATAGTGCGCCAAAATTGGAACTCTTCTGCACTCAGTGAATCCGACAAAATTTATTCATTTTTTTTAGCAATTTCAGAAATGCATTCGTTTATAATTAGTCTAAGCGCGCTGAACATAACTTCCTCAGTAACCTTGTCGTCGAAGTCAGGCACGTGAACGAAGAGAGTCCTGTCCCGATTATGTGTTAATGAGATAAAATAGGCATATGCACAAAGATACCTGAAATTCCAATTAGTAGTATAGTAAAAGTAATGTAGCAACACTTTGGATAGCGATTTCCGGCAAAACCAGCGGGGAAAGTCGAAATTTTACTGTCTCGGACCTTCCTGGGTCATGAGACACCTTCCAGGTCAAACAGTCACAAGCAAGTTTTGCTGAAGCATTTATTAGTATTTTATCACAGTCCAAGCTACTGGTTATTACATCGTCCGCAATTTCACACTTCACTGAACGCGGGCATATCTGTCCTGCAGGAATCTGTCCTGAAAAGTTGTCCTTTTCAAATTCCCGCGTCAAAAGCAATATATTTTTTTAACAACACCCCGCAGAAAAGTAAGAACTTACAAGCAAGACATAGTTAAACAGTAAATGAAACAGAAAGCAGAAGGTGATAATTTAATATGAAAAAACCAGATGAATTTCGTCAGATGAAAGTTAGGAGGAAGAGTAAACTCAAACGCTTCCAATGAACAGAAGGTTTTAATAAAATCAACGACAAAATAATCAGTGACTCTGTTTAGAGGCTTACAGGAAGAGAGTTAATGCAGAGACAAAATATAGTAACAAAGAAACAAACCTTTTATGTCATAACCACCATATCCGCTTCCAAAGCTTTGTTGCTCAAGGCTAATTGTCCGAGACTCAGGTTGCACACCAACATGGATAACAAGCTAAAATGCATTATACAGGTGCCGTCAGATGATGTTAGCGAGCGCTAGCAAAGGCGTTACTAGTATTTGAAAGTTGTAAGAAATTTTACAAAGGAAAGTCTCTTGTCATAGCTAATTCCCTTCCAGAAAAGTATTTTTGAAAAAAATACTATTTCAAATAATTCAACTAAAGGGAGCATTTGAACTGTAATCCCAAGAAAAAACTTTTTCAGAATTTAGGTAAAAAAAGTGCCAGAAACTTCAGTCGTAACTTACATCAGGTTTATACACTTTCCAGATCCTAAAAACGGCTTGATTGACGTCGTGGTAAGCCACAGGGATAATTTCTGTTATGAGAGTACAATTTTCTCCAGTGTCAAGTCCTGGAAACTAAAAATTAAAGGGTTCAGAGTTTGTCGATGACGTTAGGATACAGCAAAGTTGAGTCGTATAACCACTCTTTTAAAAATTGGCTTGAAAATTGAGAAGTACTAGCAAAACAAGTTTAATTTATTTAAGGCATGTCGAGAAAACTTTGTGTGTTTTGCAGTTTCGAACCTTTGACTGCCAAACGGCGAACAAGCCTCTCGCTCGGATTGTCAGTACACCTCTGGAATGGCCCAAAGCCAGTGACAACAATGACAATCCCACGGTTACTTCCCATAATTGAAACCTCCAAGACAGGGAAGACAGTGCGGCTTTGAAAGTGCGAAGAATTTACTGAGTGGAGTGATGATACAAGCAAACAAATCTGAAGAAGCGTCAACGGCATTTCAGCAGTATTTCAAAATTTCAGTTATCCACTGAGCCGGATATAAAAGTTTAAAGATGCCGATATTGTTATATTTGTTAGAAAAACGGATTAACAACACATTTCGCCTAAACGAATCTAACCACAACACTTCTTTAATAAACTTATAATATATCCCTACTAATCTACAGAATACTGATTCAAAGAAAAAGTAATCCATTAACATTTGCTAAAGTCTTAAAGCCATAAAAATTCCCCTGTTGCACTCCACGTCTATGGCATCTGAAGCATTTTGTAGCCAAGTAAGAAATCATTAAAAACATAAGCTGTAAATGAATGATGAACAGGGAGTAATACCTACCAGTAATAAAAAAAAGAATAACCCAAAATCAGCTATAATTCTGGACACTCATGTTATTGAAAATTACCCTCAAATTATTCCGACCGACTGTACCCTACATCTTTTAGGCTTTAACCTCCAATACTCTCCTTCCCATGAACAATATATTTGATTAAAAATCCTTTTATAATTATCAAAAGGGCAGAATATGTTAAGCGGTTTATAAACTTTTATTTAGGATTGGTTTTGTAGTAACTTCGAGTTAATGATTTGTCAGCAGACGACAAAGCTGACATTAAATTCTGCAAACGTACAATCTACTTTAAAGGTTATACAGTGTTAATTTGTAGCACATGCACAGCGACCTGTTCACCGCTGTACCGCTTTACAACTATAATTGGTCGTTTTTTTTTTTTCTCGCTCTAATTCCGTCTATTTTTCAGTTTACAAAAATAGATGAATAAAGACGAATTAAAATGTTGCCATAATCTGGACAGTTCTTTCAAGCTGTTATATCCATTCTCTAAAACGGCATAAAACTAATGAGCAAAAACCGCATAATATGCGTCATCATGTGATGAACGTTTATCTTTCCAACAGACAGTTAGTTCAACGTGATTACTGTTCGCATAAAAACAACAGCATAGCACTGAAGTGACACAGAATCAAATTGAATTACTGGCAAAATTCCAACAAAATGTTATTTTCTTATCGTCGTCCGAAGTACTAGCAGTTGCTGCTGATACCAAGTTTTACTTGGCTTTCAACAATTGCTTTTTTACTTCAGTTAGACAACGTCAGACATAGTTCAGAAATCTGTGCATATAGAGCCATAAAACAGGAAAATATTTTAGGAAAAAATTTTCAAGAAGTATTCTCAGTATTATGGAAAAGAATCTTAATTAAATTGTAGTTCTCAATCCTGAAAACAAACAAAGAAAAAAAAAGACTTCTTTTATAGTTAAGGATAAGAGAGCGGAAAATACAGGATTAAAGAACATATTATTGGTGAATAGAAAGAAGAAGGTAAAACAAAACAGTGCCCTACAAAATAGACCAGTCATCCCGAACCGCTGGCTTCTGTACAGACAGACATTCAAGAAGAAAAGCAATACTTTTGAAAGTTTGCCAGCAAAAATTTGTCCCACATAAGATCTGTCCCTTTCAGTAAACTACATTTCTTTGAACCAAGAAAAAAAAAAGAAGTAAAGAGAAGTAAAACTTTTGTTGTTACAAATAGTGGGTACTGCGGCTTTACCTCAACACTTTCTGAATATGTCCCTCAATGAAACTGCTGAAATAAAAGTTTGCAGATACGTTACTGCTACTACTGCGACTACTGTCTAACTCACTTGTTTTTTTCTTTTTGCTTTATTTGTTTGGTAGTACAAAAAATCGTGCATAAAAAAAGTACTTTTTTTTTCAAATCGGTATCTCTGTTACTTGTTAAATTTAGACACTTTTTGACATGAATTTTAGTTGCTACCATGCTACAATATTGAGCAAGTTTTTTATTGCTCAATAAAGTGAAGAACATAAGCGTTGTTTTGAATTCGATCTTGTCTAATTCTACAAATAACTTCGAAAGAGTTGCAAAAATCAATTATCTCTGGGTAAGAAATACCTGAAAATGTAAAGTTTAGTGAATGGTTCCGAGAACTTGCCTAGTTTTCTAAACTTTCAAACTTTGGAAAGCAATCTTTTACTTGCCGTTTTTTACTTTTTATCTGTTTACTTTTTAGTTTCCTGTATTTACTAAGGATTACTATCTCTGTGTCGCTCTAAAAATTCGAGAAAAATTGGCCCTCTATTTACCGAATCTAGTTCTATGGTCCAAACTTCAAAGGCCCTCCTGTTTTTTTCTGACACTTCTTAAAGTTGTATAACAGTTACACGGAATTGCCTTTTGCCTTTTGCATTTTTTCATGATATTTGCGAACGGAGCGTTGCCTTTTATCTTCTTTTTTGATCTTACAACCTATCCAATTTCCTGACCTTACTAAGTGGAACTGTGGCTTCAAGTGGAGACTTACTCCAACAAATATATCTTTTCAGGAGTAAGGTTCCTATTCTAATCGTCATATTACAGTTGTAATCTTATTTGGTAAGCTTTGAATTTTTCTGTTTCCTGCGCTACAAATGCTTTATTAAAAATGGTGAAGGGAAATTAATAGAAGCGAATAACCAGTAGATCGGATAGCCTTCATCGTCATTCTCTAGCTATCTCGTTTTTGAATTACTTGTTTAGTATGAGAAGCTTGGAAGCTAGGAAATGAAATTTGCAATAAACCTTAAGAGGACCACAAGAATAACAGTGATTCTTTGTAGCGTTACTGAGTTCGAAGACACGTGTCATTTTAACTAAACATTTTGAAGTTAGTTTCTTGCCCTAGTCGAGTTTATCGTTTCTTTGCTTAAAGAAATTTTTGCATGAGATTATTGGTGAATTCTTCATGTGTTTCTCTCCATTTATCAAATTTCACTACTTTCACTGCCTTCCTCAGCCGTGATCGGTTTTGTTGATTGACTAATCAATGTCTTTCCTCAACCCTCTCTTCCGCTTTATTCTTTCCGTTGAAAAAAAAAAAAGAAATTGGTCGTTAGATGCCAAATGACTACAGTCATTTAAAAAAGCAGACTCTAAAATCGATTCTTCATCTCTAGCTGTGACATAGCTTTGTCCGTGGCTAATTCAGCTTTCATAGTACTTAAAGAGTATTATAGAACTGGAATTTAATAGTAGACCCCAAGCTTATTTGTAATTATTAGTGGTGTTGGTGAGATGTTTGGACACTCTTCAAATAATATTTTGAGATGATAATGTACATTTTCGATAATGCTCATGCAGTACACTTAGATTTTCAGCAGTAATTGTAACACATAAAATAGTACTTAAAGTTGGCTACTGAAATACAATACTGAAGCAGACAGCATACTAAAAACTGGTAAGGGAAATACATCTACTGAAAGAAGCACATGCATCCTATATGATTACAATTAAAACTTAAGTAAGAATTATTGTTTTCAAAAAGACGGCCTATCGAAACAACGAACACGGTAATATAAGCGAAAATCTACAGCGAGTCTTCAATCTGGTAAGTCGGCATTATAATTTTAGGTAACTGTAAGATTAAAAAGTCGACATTTAGAAGGTGGAGTACGCAGCAAACTCTGATGGGTTTTATGCACTGGTTGACAGAGACGAAAAAGTGATCTTACAAATGATATCACAATTGAAGCATAGGAGACAACGAGCTTCATAGCAACTAAATCAACTGGTTATCAACAGCACAAATAGTCTGGTTGATCAAGACTTTTGAAGACAAATTCCCGGAGCAATGTGGGCAAATCACTCCATTTATAATAACTGACGATTCCCAAACAGAATTTAAAATTATCCCAATCTAATTATATTTTCTGCTTATTTGGTAACAGTCCACAGGGCAGCGTAAATCATTTTGAAGAACCTTCGCTTTTTCATAATTTTTTTTCTTTAAATCTGCGATTTAATAGAATATTTTCTCTAGTTTACTTTTCTTTCAATATTAAATATAGTTTGTACATGACTTTTTTAAATAGCTCATTAAACGAGTCTATGATGTCTACAAAAATAAAACTCAATAGTTTTACAGCCAAACGTCTTGAGAGCTATTGTTGAAGCAAACTGCTGCACCAATTCTTAATTAAAAAAAACGTTAAATTATTGTGGGAAATTCTTGCGACAAAATTACAATAATTTTCCGGAATTCAATGACTTGCTTTAAATTAAAGTTTTCATTTTTTTTTGAAGGATTGAAGAACAATGTCATTGGTGGCTACTAAAAGCGACTGTTTATAAGGGTTTTCATCTGGATTTTAATTTTGCCTGTTAGTCCTTACCATCACTCGTTTGAAGCCTCCTTTTTCGCATTAATTAATGGCAAAACTATGCATATGGATTAATGTTTTAAACGGTCAAATATTATTTTATGAAGGCCATATTTGAGGCTTTTTATAATACAATAATTTCACTATCCACTTTCTCTAGTTTTTCCCACTCTAATGCGGTATATTGTCAGCCAAGAGTATTACGCGGAAAAGAAGCTAACGTACAGAATACGGTGATACTGAAAAGTAGAATAATGAATCGTTGATACTTTTTCTGTAGAAGAATTATTTTGAGAACGTAGTCAGCGTCATATTTTCATCCCAGTGTTTTCATTTCGCTGTCTAAGTAACGTTTTTCTGACAGGACGCGTAACTAAAGGGCAACAGTTAAGTGCAGAGAATGAATAAAATTTTAAGCTATTGTTTTGGTCCGCACAATGGAGTACGTCTGTATCAAACTGCACTCTTTCGGTCAGAAATGCATAATGTGGCTCATACTTCTCAACCCTACTTCCACCATGAATTCCAAAATGATGCCTCAAAAAAAAGATAATTCATTTTGTCCATAGTACGGCAAAACTAATTTGCCTGACCTCAGTACTTCTCAACTCCCACAGCGGACAAGTAATGTAGAATCACAGTTGGGCGCAACATATACCGCAGTAAAAAAAACAGTCAAGCAAGAATTATGCGCATTTCTGACTGACAACACAGTAAAACATAACATCGGTTTGTGCTTCCAACAAGAGAGCACCTTCCCGCTTCTTTCAGCTAACGTAGGAGTTCTTGTTTTTAGTTTCTTGGAAGAAATTGGAAGTACTTGAGAAAAGTAAATAATAGAATGTAACCAAAACGTTGAATAAAAAACATCAAAAGTTCATATTTTAACGGAAGGCCATTTTCAAAACAGCTCATCTTTTGCCCCACGCAGTAAATTTGGAAACTAATATTGAAACATGAGTTTAGAAAATGATAAAAACTTACTGACTTGTGTTGCCAGCTCATACTTACATACGTGCGCTTTTAAATATATACCTGGTGTAAATGTTGAATAAGCCTTTTGAAAAGGCGAGACAGAGCAGTGAGGAATCTTGGAATCTAGGTGACGGAAAAAGAGGATAACAGACTGCAATGAAAGCAGAAGCGGTAGCCGCGGACCGGCAGAGGAGAGGATCTAGCAAAGTCTGGTGCTTGAAAAGTCTGATAAGCTAACAATCTCCACCCAATAACAGAACTGCAATCGGTGTCTACTTAGTGCTTTCTGCTCTGTCTAAAGGCGCTAATATAGAAGTATAAAGGACTTCCAAGAAAATTAATGACAGGTTATTATAAAAACACTCAATTAATTTTGTTCACTGGAAATGCCGTTCATCCATAAACGTCAACGAATTTACGCGGTTTAGGTATGAGGTACTAGCCAACTAAATATAACTGGTAAGTAGTCCAACAGTGTCTACCCCCACTCTGCACCTCTACTCCCTTAAAAAGAACTTATTAATTCTTTTCTCCTTGGTTCATGCTTATTTTTATTCATGTCCCTCTTTGAGGAAGCCATAAAGCAACTATCAAAAGAAAGCCATTGTAACACAAATAGATGAAGATAAAATCTTGCCCTTTTTTTAAAACTGTATAAAGTAAGTTGCGATGATAAGAGCCTCAATTTTTATAGAGAGAGCAGAAAGGTGAAAACGTTAAAATTGCAATAAAAGAAATAATGAGAACAAGTCCTCTTGAGCTTTGTCTTAAAACTGTATTACAAGAAGTGAGGCTTCAAAAAACTTCCACTTCTTATTTGTATTTTACAAAGAGTGCTTCACCTTAATTTCTATCGAGGTACAGAAAGTCCATACACTTTTATTGCTAAGAGCACTAAAAAAATTTTTAAAGTAGCTTTCAATTTTGAGACAAAAAAGTCCAGATGCTTAGAATCTTTCTCATCTTCCTATATCTCTCGCCGTCTGACGTCTTTCAATATATTCAAAAATTTGGCTTATTTGATTTTGCCTCCTCCTTTACATTTAGGGAAGAAGAGTGTTGGAGATGGGTAAAAGCTCTTCCTCTGCCCAACTTGCTCAAGATGCATATAGTAAGAAAACAGCACTTTCTTCCTCTTTTCTTCACTTTTTGCTTTTTATTATTCCTTAGAGCTAATCTCTTTAAAAGCCAGCTGAGAAAGGTATTTCGGGTAGCAGTGATTGTTACAGCATTGGGGATGTCAAGAAACTCAAAAACTTTATAAAGCTTTCACCACATCCTCGCTTACCTCGTTCAAAAAAACAACTGAAAAAAGGCCTAATCCACGAGTAAATAAAAGAAACCCGGGCTTTTAACAAAGATCAGGTACAGACTCTTTCGATCCTTGCTTTGTACTACAAATCTTGTTGTGCACTCTAAGCTTGCAAAGCTTTTACTTTTATTGCAACTTTTCAAAATAATGCAATTTATACTTTAATTAAATTAAACCTTTATGTTTCTAAGAACAAAAAATTTATCACATCGGTTTTAAAGGCAGCTTGATAAAATTTTAAACTACTGTTTCAACAAGCAAAACTGGAAAAAATCAGCATAAAAAATTCAACAAATGTTCAGAATTTAGAACAAAATTATAACACTATTAACAGACAAAATTATTTACGGAAATAAACAATAAAGTTCACTTAAAATTCTCATCCAATATCTAAATTAAGCCAATTTTCTCAAAGCAAAAAAGTTTTGAGAAATAACGGAATTTGTCATGTTAAAAAGCCATAATCTAACTGGACGACAGATATCGCTGACATTTTCTACCCATTAAGTGAAAAAAGCTAAATATTTAACAAGTGAAGTATTGACGAAATTCTGTGGTAAAGGAAATAGTATCTCGGTAAACAAGTGAATTGATTTATCAAAAAAATATATATATGGGTGCAAACATACAACGTGAAGTGCGTCATAGCTTTAAATTCTTTGAAACTTCTGCTCTGTTTACTCACCTCTATAACTGTCTTCATTGGAATGCCTAACTTAGTGAAAATTTTCCTCAGATAACTCTCTTAAATGCCAAAATTATTTAATTTTTTGCTTCGCCTTCTTAAAATTTACCCTATGAAAATGATCTGTAAAAATTTGCTGTAAGAGCATCTTTTTAAGTAGGTAAGAAAGTGGCAGATAACTGACATGAGTGGTCACCATTTTGTTTCCGCAAAAGGATTAAGAGCTGTACTGTACAAAGAACAGAAAAGGAACAGCAGAAAACATTGTCTTCATTAGACTCGCTAAGCTAGAGAGTTTATTTTTTTGCTGGGGTGCACTGTCACCAGATAATTCAAGTTTTCAGATTAAAGAGAATTTTAGACCGAATACTGGTATGGGCTCGAAAAGTTATATTTTTGATCCAAGTACACCATAATTTAGTTAACACCTTTCCCGTTGTTTCTACTCATTAATTTGCTAAACCTCAATTATTACAAGTAGTTTTCTAAAGAATTTTTGAGACGTTACGAGTACTATATCAGCCTTTTTCAAAGAGTTATATACTTATTCTTATTGGTAGAGATTTTAGTCAAAATTAGTTAAATTAAACTCCTTTTCAAACAGTCTCCAGCTGCACTGAGCGTTCGAAATTAGTAGTGCTTTTAAAGGAACACTGCAATGTCCAGAAATGAAAGTTGAAGAGTAGAATACAGTGTAACCACTAATTTTTCATTAAGAAAATTAGCTACACCACATAGACGTTGCTGACGACCTTACTGAGACTTTATTGACACTCTGAATTTCTATGAAAAAAAAAAATGAAACCCGGACAATTAAAGTAACTATTTGTAACAGGCCAATTAACAACAGGTGTACAGTTTTGGCTGGTTGAAAATGATGACAAAAACTGGTTGTAGACAACGGTTACAGTAATTGTACAGGTGAAAAATTGTGCTGTTAAAGGTTGGAGGTGACGAATTTTACAATTTCAACTATATGAGAAAGAAATTTTTTTTGCTTCTAAAATCCTAATTATCAACAAGAAATTTTTGTGGATTATATATTTGTGTTTCGTCAAAGATTTGTTTCATCAATGCTTTTAATTGGTTAGTTGTAGTTTTTTTCTTTCTTTTTATTAGCTGTCATTAGTTGTACCCTGTGAACAACGTCATCGTTGGATTAACTAAATGGAGCAGTAAGATGAAATTGAAACAGTGGTGTCGTACAAGAAGCATTTTTTTTGCGAA